GGCAGGAGCGCTCTGCTGCCGACAAAACCGCTGCTGCTTGTGGGGGGTGAAAGTTTTTTGTCGGCAGGAGAGCTCTCTTCTACTGACAAACAGCAGCTACGCTGCGTGGCTTTTCGCCTCGTAGTGTAGCCATAGCGTTAGAGACAGTGCTGTCTGCTCTGAAGAGCTTAGTCTAGAAACAGACAAGACGAAGGGCAGAAAAGCATCATCTCCCCTTTACAAGGGGGAGAGGCCCGGAGAAGTTAAGTGATGTGGCCAAGGGCATCTGTGGTCAAGCCAGGAATTGAACCCAGCCCTCCTGAGTCTCAGGCTTGTCCCTCGCCACACCACCACTTTGTCTTGCAAGGCTTGAGATTGTTAATCAGAGGGATGCCTAGTTCCAAGACTTACTGCCCTCGTCTTTCCTCAGGGCCCATTGCAACCAGGTAGTGTCAGTGTGGAGCAGGGCTAAAGGATGTACTGGCCTGACGCACGTGACGTCGGTGTGACGCCGCTGCAGTTCGTGTATCGCTTGTGAATGTGCTAACCTGGCCCCCCTGTGTCAGCATTGCACATACTCACCAGGAGCGTGTCTGTGCACTAGGCGGTATACCATGACTGGAGACCTGCTTTGCCAATTCTCTCCCCTTTGGCTTTATAGGTGGGGGAGCCAACGAGTTACTGAGTAAGGGTTGGGGGCATTTGGCAGAGCACTAGACCTCAGCAATTGTGTTTTGCAAAGAATGGCCCAAATTCACTGGGGAGCTACATGGGGGTGAGTTTCACCACTAGGGCCTGTTTCGTAGTTACTCAGCTCCTATGCTCGGGGTGGGGGTTAAAGGTGATATCAGGCATCTTTGTACACCCTGTATTCTAGGAGCTAGAAGGGGCCTGCCCAAGCCTGCTGTTGTTAGAGCAGCCCTCAGGCCTAGTGATCACCTTAGTGATCCTCCACTACATTTCCTGGGGCTGGTGAGACTCCATTGATCCACACCGCGTCGCTCCCTCGGCCTTCCCCTCCCTACAAACAGCTGCAAAGGCGTCCCCCCCCCCACCCACTGTCTAGGGAGGAAGGCTGGCCCAGTGGTTAGAGTGCCAGCCTCAGTCCTGAGAGACCAGGGGTCCAAGTCCCCGATCTGCCCCAGGCTCCTGCTGAGAATGGCTTAGTCTCTCGCCGCTCCGGTTCCCCATCTCCACTGGGGGGGTAACAGCACTGTCCTGCCCGATGGGTTTTGGGGGGGGGAGTGTGAGGCGCTCAGTTACTTTGGTGATGGGGGGCTATCTATGTGCTAGGGACAGCGTGGGGTGTGAGGGAGGTGGGGGATTTGTCCGAAAGGCTGTGATGGGGGGAGCAGGGTGTAAGATGAAGGGCATCTGTTGGAGGTCGGTAGCCGAAATGAAATTGGCTGGGGGCTGGGAACTCAGTTGGAATGGGGGGGAAGGAGAAATGTCACCATCTCTCCTGATTAGGGTGACTAGATGTCCTCATTTTATAGGGACAGTCCCGATATTTGGGGTTTTGTCTTAATCAGTGCCTATTACCCCCCACCCCCGTCCCGATTTTTCACACTTGCTGTCTGGTCACCCTACTCCTGATGTCTGGGTGGCTTTTAAAGGGTTCTCCTTGGTTTCGGCCTCCTGCTGAAATTTTGCCCTTAGCCAAAATGGCCGCCATCGCCCCTTCATGTCAATAGCTCTGAAGCCAGCACGACAGCTTCTATAGCCCCTTAACCTTGGTAGGCAGAAGTGAGGCTGACCTCCAGTAACAGTGGCTACCGTCTTCCCGTAGTGTCAACAGGGGGGAAGTCAGTCAGGGGGGGAAGTCAGTCAGGCCGCCCTCAGGCAAGATGACGCCTTCAGTGCGTTGGGAGGCTCTGGCAGAGGAAAGGTGGATGCAGAGACTGGCCCTGCGGGTAGCAGGGAGGCCGCAGGTGTGGAGCTAGGCAGGAAACAGCAATTAGAGGAAATTGGGGGCACGAAGCAGACTAAGAGGGTGTGGGGGAGGGAACATGGGGGATAACAGACAGAGCAAAGGGGGAGGGACTTTGGGCAGGAGACTGTGGTGGGCACGGGGAAATTGAGAGGGGGGGCTGCTGCCTGCCCTGTCTAGCTGGTTGGGGAAGCATCCCGGCCCCAAGGAGACAGGTGAGGAGAATCCGAGACCCCTCGTTTTTGTGTGTGTATTTCAGGGTGATTAGGCCGTCCGAGCTTTGGTCCATCCTTAGCCTGATGAATCTCCTTGACGTTGTGGGAAATCAACCATCCGCTGGCTGAGCTCAGAGCTAGAAGGGAATGTGAATGGGCCCCCTCCCCTGGACACCCCTGGGCTGGAGGAAGCGCGGCTGCTGCTAATTCAGTGGGTGACGCTCTTCTCATGACCGTGTCAATGCCCCAGGTTGACGTCAAAATGTACGTGGGTGGGGCTGTCTTTTACCGAGGACATTGTCGCTCTGAGAGCTCATGGCCCCCGGACACAGAGAAAAGAGGTGGTTAATCTTGCTGTCCTGGCCAAATCCCAGAACTGTCTAAAAATAAATGCTCTCCGTGATCTTGCTTAGTTATGGTATTCGTCACTTCCTGTCCCAAACCAGTGGTGGGGAGTTCCTGGGTTCCAGGCCAGCGGTGGCTGAGATCGCAGCACATCCACATTTGAAGTCAAGTTTAATGGTAAGACTAGGATGCTAGCTCTTAAAAGGCAGAGCTTCTCCTCTACCTGAGAGCCAACTACTTACCCTTCCACCTTCTTCGGTGAAATAACCTACCATAACTCATTCCAGGAGCATTAGTGTTTAGGACTATAACTGTGCCAAGGACAAACATGTAAGGTAAGGGCACTGAAGAGAGAATTAGTTAGGTGTTCCATTAATTGCAACGAACAGGAAGCCAGCTAACTAGCACCAGCTGTCTTGGCTTGGAAGAGATCTGGGATGTGTGGAAGACAAAGCCATCCATTTATTGGATATTGCTGTTTAACTTGGGGGGGGGGGTCACATTTAGGGTGTATCCCATGAGGGCTAGAGTAAAACCAAAGCTCCTAGTAGAGGTTTCGGGTTAGGTCTCTGTCTGCTCAAAGGGTTTGGTTGGTCTGACGGTGGAAGCTGACTAGCTAGTCATCTTTGCAGTCCTGTGGCTCATAGTGTTTCAGGACTTTCAATATATCCGGCTTCTCCTCTGTCTCCAGCAGCTCCCCTTCAAGGGAAACCAAGGATTCCACAAGCCACGTTACAGGAGGGTTCTGCAACAAAAAATCCATCACTTCATCCAAGGCCTCCCAAGCGTTGGCCACCTTCTCCCGGCTCTGGC